TTTATTCCCTATTAACAATGTATTTATAGGGACATGTATTTCTCATCTTTTAAGACAAAAAATTTCTTGAAATTTGACAGTACTTGTAACAGTTTCTGTGTGTAAAAAAATTTCTTGCCACCAAGTTAGCAAGAAAACAAAACAAAGGTCAGTGCTATATTCAGTTAACTGTACCATTTTGAGTATGTCCTCTCTGCCCAGATTGTATACTTTCCATTTGTTCCAGAGGATTGTTTATTCTACTCTTTACCTACAAAAGCTCTCCAACTGCTTTCATCTCGTTCTATTTTTCTGTCACTCTTTTGTCTTCCCTCACTGCTGCTTTAGGACTCCTAGGAGATTCCTAGGAGAGGTCACTTGAACCAGTGAGCAGGGCTGCAGGCTTCGGAGAATCAAGTGGCTAGGCTAGCACAGTGTTAGTCCAGGGTCATGGCTAGCCTTGAGTGTATGCCCCACCCACAACAACCACCCCAAAGAAAACTATGCTCCACTCCATTTTCAACTTGCAATACCTATGTGAGTCCTAGTTACTTATTGTTTTACTTTCTGAAAGAAAAGCCAAGGTCGGGACATGTCTGGATATGTGGGTTTCAGTTTGGTCTGCCTCTGCCATGTCATTTCTTCTCTTTTTTTTTTTTTAAAGATTTTATTTATTTATTTGACAGATCACAAGTAGGCAGAGAGGCAGGCAGAGAGAGAGAGGAGGAAGCAGGCTCCCTGCCGAGCAGAGAGCCCGATGCGGGGCTCGATCCCAAGACCCTGGGATCATGACCTCAGCTGAAGGCAGAGGCTTTAACCCACTGAACCACCCAGGCGCCCCTCATTTCTTCTCCTTAATCTTAGATAGTGACCCCTGTAATTTCTCCCCAATGACCCCACCATCTGGCTACTCTTTAACTTCTATACCTTCTCTTTCTCCAATCCTGACTTCACTGAACTAGAACCACACCACAGGCCTTCAGACATGCTCTTCCCTCTGTCTGAGACACCCCTCTCCTGCTCCTGTTCCTGACTATTTCCTGTTCAGCCTTAGCATGGAAACCAGCCCCTCAACAAGCTGGTTTTTCTCTTCTCTTCTCCCCTCCTCTTTCTTCCTTCCCTCCCATCCCTCCCTCCCTTCCTTTTCTTTTCTTTTTAAAGTAAGCTCCATACCCACCGTCAAGCTCAATGTGGGGCTTGAAATCATGACCCTGAGATCAAGACCTGAGCTGAGATCAAGAGTTGAACACTTAACCAACTGAGTCACCAAGGCACCCTGGGAGCTGATCTCTTGATCCAGGCCCTCATGTGGGTTTCCACAGCATCCTGGTTTTCCCCGCCACCCCGACTCCTCAGCTTTCATTTGGAATTACTTGTTTACTGTCTGGTTTGCCAGCTAGAATGTATGCCTAAAGGTAAGGATACTGATTTTTTTTTAAAATTTACTCCTGTGTCTTATACTTGGCACATAGTTGGCACTCAGTAAATATCCCCTGTTGTGGGTAGAAAGCAACTTAGAAAGAAAGCTTCTTAGGAAGCCTCCCCAGGCTGCTACCACCTTCATAGCCTTTGCCCCAACTGTAATGGGGTATGTAATAAGACAAACATTTCTATTCATCATCCAAAGCGTTCTTGGGAAGAGCACTATATTTGTTTAGAAGAAATATTGAAATAGCTGATATATGGTTCAGAATATGGACTTTGAGGATAGATTTCCTGGTTTTGAGTCATGGTTCTGCCACTCAATGGCTGGAAAACCTTGGGCAAACTACTTCTCTAGGCCTCAGTTTCTTCATGTGTAAAATGGTGGTGACAATAACAGCACCCACCTTAAAAGGGCTGTTGTGAGAATTATATGAATGAATACACACAAGGACTGAAGAATTACTGCCTACAGAAACAGTAAGTGCTCGCTGTTATTATTACTATTAGTAAACCATTATTAGGGGCTGGTGTGAAGCAAGGTAGATCACCAAATTCTGCTTGTCAGGAGAGCGGTTCTGCTCACTGTCGGCTTTCTGTTTTGTATGTTTGGGGAGAGTTGCTGAAGCCAAGCTGATTTACTGTGCCAATTAGAGATGAGATAATTTTGACATTGGCAGGAGAGGGAGGCAAGAGCCATTATGTACATTCAACAAATATTTACCGAATGTCTATTCTGTGCTAGACATTCCAAAAAAAATCAAGAAGGGAGAGAGAAGCTAGAGAGTCTGGTGGGACTCAGGGAGTGTGGGGGGCAGACGAGCTTCTCTCCAGTGGGTGCAACACAGCAAAGGAGGATGTTGAGAGAACAGAAGTGCTAAGGCAGGAAAATAAAGCGTCTGCTATAGGATGTATCATGTAAATCCTCCCTTCCATCCCCTACAAAATCTTCAATAAAGTTTTCATTGCTCACTGGAGAGAGCTTGAAGAAGGGGACGATAGCAGATATCTGGGTTATAACTGTTAGGGGAAAGAAGCTATAGACAAAAATCCCTTCCTTACTCTTGTGTACTCCCAGTAAGGAAGGATTACGGTGCATGCAATATTTAATGATTATAAACGATACCTCCATGCATTGTATAATACAAGACTCTTTACAATGAATACAAATTAAACAGTACCAATAGCAACCATATAACTGAAAAGAAGAGGCATTATTCAAGACAGGAAACCTTGGACGTTGAGGGAAAAGGAGCCTTATACTTGGGAGTCACATTTGACCACCAACCAGCACCTTTGTGGTTCATTAGTTGTTGCTATGATTCCTCAGCAGCTATGACTTGTTATTTTATAAACCACTGGTTAAGAGGATGCAGGCTTTCTTAAACATAAAATATCCTAAAGTTTAGGTATGGCAGAAAAAAAGGGGTCTACCATATACTTATGGCTCCCATCCTTTTATGACTTCCAGTTTTTCACTTTTCCCATCTTTTTTAAGAATTTGAAAATTTGTATATAACAACATAAAGAAATAACAATTTAAAGAAATGTATCTATTTCTTTAAAATAACAATTTAAAGAAATGTACATATTTCTTTAAAAAAGCAGCAGCCTAAGAAATAATCAGTCAGCAAACCAAATAAAACAAAACTATCAATTTTCCTGAATTTCCAAGAGTGAAGTAAATAAAGCTCTGTTGGAATTTACCTACACAAATTGAGACTTTCCAGGGAAGAAAGAAACAAACTAGTGTTTTTTTCTTTTTTCTTAGATTTGTTTACTGTGTAAACCCTGGGGTTTTTTGCATCTTATAATGTGACTACTGATTAAAAAGATATATGATTGTTTATTAATGTTCTCAAGGCATGATGCAAATTCACACCACCTTGGGTATATTTTGCCCCTAAAGCTATGAAGTAAATATGGAAGCATTTTATAGTTAACAAGGCAAAAATATGTTAATTCAAATAGTTGGCTTTGAATAGGATTTTCCTTTAAACCATTAATAGGAAAATGAAGAGAGCTTGGGTGGTCAAGCATGAAATGTAAATGAGAGTAGTTTTCTTTTTTGTCTCATCTGCCCATGTTATTTGATGTTAAAATTTAAATTTGATAATGTGGAATATGACCTTATCATGAAACAATGCAGCTTATGCCCCAGATTTTTTGACAGCAGTATTTTAACTATGATTTTTAAATACCATTTTCAAATGAGAAGTTCAGTGAAAAAATTAGACATTTTGAATTGGTGGAGTCAGAAAATGAGTTTCTCTCTCCTTTTATCTACAGGACCATATTTTTTAAATCAAAAACTAAGATAGAGGGTGTTAGAGCAAAGCAGAGACAAACCTAGATCTCTTTAAATGGATGTAAAATCACCAGTGAAATCCCTGAAGGGCCAAATAATACAGGAAGCGTATACTTTTGCCCTCTTATTAAAATGAGGAATATATTTCTTTAAAGCAGAAAAGGGCTTTACAAACCTTTTCAGCTGTGGGTTTCTAATCAGCCTCAGAACGGCAACCGTTCCCCTATTGTCAGGCTGCTGGTGAGAAGTGCAAAGGAGCCACCCGTAACCAGGAGTTCCAGAAAATCAAGGTGGACACCAGGCCTCGCTTCTGCCATTCTGCTACCAGGAAGAAAATTTTAGAAAGAGTTCAGTTTAAAACACACACATTTTAGCCAGGTTTTAAGTATAACTACCTCCTTAAATATAACTGATCCTATGACTATAATCTTTTCAATGTATGTGTCAGTGACCCATTTTCCCCCATTCTTTGGACTGGAGAAAAATAAAAAAGACCTGTCACACATTTCTATCAAAAAAATGAATTAATTTGTAGCCTTGGAAAACTATGAAATTTGTGCCAGTTTCCAGATGACCCAAGATTTGGGCTGCTTTACAGGGGTAACTAAATATATGGCTAAGTTAAGAATGATAAAAGTTCATGCTAAAATATGCTGTGTAAAGTATGCTTTACTTTGGAAGGCATCGACAACAGCAATGCACCATTTGCCAGAAATGCATGACTATACCAACAAAATCCTTGCTATTAGGGCACACCCTTGAGCAACTATCACACTGCACTGAGTTCTTGAGAATATTCTGGAAGCATCACTGCGAGCCACTGCTTCTCAGCAGGGGAAGGAAATGAAATTCAGCAGAAGCAGCAACTTTTGGAAGGAGAAACACAGTTTGCTTCTTAGGATGCTTCTCTCCCGGAATGGGTTTACTGAGAGCTCCGTTCCTCCGGAGCTTTAAATCTGTGGACCGTTGACTATCACTCCGCCTCTTTTGAAGTTACAAAAATACCTTCTGTGTGGCGGGAACAGCAAGTTTGGAAAATTAAATGGGTAAAACTTCAGAAAATTCAGATGACATACATGCAATAGCATTCCATGAAGAATTTATTCAACCCAATCCCTTGCATGTAATTAACCAAGACACACAAAGTCTCCAAAAATTTTGCACTCCAAAAAAGGAGGGAAAATGCAAGGGTCCTGTGCAGCTACCAGGACCTACTGAGAGCCACTTTGTTACAAATGTATCCAAAGTCCCCAGCACCAGAGACTTGTGGGGCGCCGCTCGTCCTGGCTGCACTCGCTCGGCAGCTTCCAGAGGTGGCGGTTGTGCTATGAAGGCAGACCCTGCCAAGCTGGCCGACAAGATGCTGCGTACCCCCAAGTGCTCGCGGTGCCGGAACCACGGTTTCCTGGTGCCGGTCAAGGGCCACGCGGGCAAGTGTCGCTGGAAGCAGTGCACCTGCGAGAAGTGCTACCTGATCACTGAGCGCCAGAAGATTATGGCAGCGCAGAAGGTGCTCAAGAAGCAGGCCTCCGAGGAGGAGCAGGAGATGGCCCTTGGCGCACAGGGGCCGGAGCTGTTGTCTGGGGCTGCGGCCGCTGTCCCGGGCCCAAGCCTCCGCCAGCTGCTTCCGCTGGCCGTTTCGGGAGACCGGGAGCTTGGCCCGGAGTGCCGCGTGGCCGCGGGCTTCCCCGAGAGGCCTCCGCGGGGCCCGAGCCCAGGCCCGAGCGCTTTCCAACCAGTTCTGGGCAGCCGCGGCCACGTGGGGCTGAGCGAACGAGCCACCGTCGCCATGCCCAGTTCCGTGGGGCCCCAGCTTGGGGCGGAGGCCGCAGGCAAGGGCTACCCCGGCCGCTTGGAGCTGCGCAGGCCGCTGCGGCCCATGCCCAGCCCGCCGTTCGCCGACTTCGGTAAGATTCCCTGGCCCCGCGTGGCCTCGGGCCCCCCCCCCCCCGCCACCCTCTCCCCGGGATGCCTCTCCGGGTTGCAGCCTCCCGGTGCCCCACTCCAGCGGCCCGGGCCACCCTGGATCGTGCCGGGATGGGCCCTTGGGGTGTGGGTGTGGTAAATGCTTTCAGAGGTACTCTTGCTGTGGAAAGCCGTTCTCTATGTACAGATACGGGTTGGGGGCCATTTTGCAAAAAGATAAAAGATCTAGAAAGTAATGGGTGGTTCTGGCAGCTTTTAACATATCACTTCTTGCCTTTCCGTCTTGGGAGAAAGAAAATGGCCCCCAAGACAAACCATAAGTGACTGTCAATCTCACAAAACAAACTGAGGGTTGATGGGGGGAGGGGTGTTGGGGGGGTGGGGTTATGGACATTGGGGAGGGTATGTGCTATGGTGAGTGCTGTGAAGTGTATAAACCTGGCGATTCACAGACCTGTACCCCTGGGGATAAAAATATATGTTTATAAAAAATAAAATTAAAAAAAAAAAAAAAGAAAAAGAAAATGGCCCCCAATCCCTTAACTGTGGCTTCTCCTCCAGGAAGACGCCTTAGCTAGATGGGCCCTACTGCACTTGCGCACTTCTTCCCGCGCTTTTCTTGGGCTGGTGGCGCCTTTTTTAAGGCGCCCGGGTGGGTGGGCCCGCACAACGATGACTGCGCATGTGCAACGGTGATTGCGCATGCGCACTCTTCCCTTTCCAGTTGGTGGAGGCTCCTCCCAGCCAACTTCCTTTGGAAAGGCCTGGCCCAATGCGCCTGCGCACCCGTTGCACCCTTTTCCAGAAGGTGGGAATGAGACGGTTCTCTGCACCCCACTGGAGAACAGTTGGTCTGTTGATATTGTCTCTTTTTCCTCCCTTCCCACCATATGCCTAAATTACATGGTTCCTTATGTCTTGGTGGTTTTCAGTATTAAAGTACAGTTTCAAGTCACATATAGATTTGAGGTTCTTTTGGGGGTGCAGACACGTGATTTCTTTTGGTTTTCTCTATAGCAGTGTGGTAGAAAGAGCATAGGAGACTCGGAGACTGCTCAGGCACCTTAGGCAAGTTCCTTCCTTCTGTGGCAGTCTCTCCCCTCTATGTGAAGGGGATTGGCCTGGAGGCTCTCTGAAGGCCAGTTCTGCCTTGTGGGACAGTCTAAGAAAATTTAGGCCCCCAAGAAACTAGAGGGGGAAGACAGACCTGAAACAGCAATTCTAGAAGATAACTTTCCACAGACATAGTGCCTTTCTCCATTCCATCTCAACAGGGGTTGAGCACTTAACCGTTCCACAACACTGGTGATGAAGACGCAAAGAGGGAAAAGTCACATTTGTTGCCTTCAAGGATCTTGCCCTCATGGGAGGGACAGTGCTGATCAAAGAATCATGCAAATCAATGTATAGAGCTCAAATAATTGATGGTTTTGCTGTGGTCTGAGGGAATAGTCAGCTGAGTACTGAGGACTTTCTGAGGCACAGTGGGGTTAGGGGGGAAAGCCTTCTAAACTGAGGGAACAGCATCTGCAAAGGCTGTGAGGTTGATGAGAAAGGAGAAGCTGCTGGGTTATAGTGCATGAGGAGGCCGGAGTGGAGGCAGGAACCAGCCCTCATGGGGCTTTATGGCTGTGCCAAGGACTTTTTCTAAGAGCAGTGGGACATGGCTGAAGGGCTTAAAAAGCAGAGAGGATCAAAAGCATAATGGATGTGGGAGTTCTTTGTAAGTGGTTTTGAGTGTTGTGCTGTTACCTTTGTACAGTGATGTGATGCTCTTTTCTCTAGCTCTGTGTGTTTTTAACGTTTCCTTCATTGCTTACCTTTCCAGGGTTCCCTCTGAGCATCAGCTCAGACTGTGTGGTGGGGTCCGAGTACCTGGAGAGAGACCCTTCTAAGCTGTACCCCAGCTGTTCCAACATGCATTCTTACTGCCCATTCCCACTGGGCTACCAAGACGGCTCCCCAACCCCAGGGATCCCCCTGCAGCGGGGCTTCCGGCATGTGTCCTGCAGCCACTTCCATGGAGGGGCCTTGGTAAGTCCCGTCCCCATTCCTTTCCCAGTTCCTCCTTATCCCAGATGCCGCATTGCTCTTATGGATGCTCAGTCCCAGAAAGCAAACTGATGGGGCAGTCTGTGCCAGGCCCTGAGCACTGGCAGGATGGGTACAACACTGACCTTGTGCAGGGTACACCTCTCAGAGGGTATGCATGTGGGCAAGTCCATTCACATGTAAACAAGTCGGCCTGGCTGTCTGGGCCATGGTATGTGCTTTTCAGAGCTGGGGGATCAGGCAAGAAGGAACACAAGAGACACCTCAGATAAACCTGGGGGGCAGCTGCACGGTACCCCCGACTGAGTGAGTGACTGCCAGTCTGGACTGACGACATGTTGGGGCCAGAAGGGCTTTATTTCGCTGAGGATCAGGAAGTCTCACTGTCCCAGCACCACACAGTTGAGGGCAGAGCTAGGAGCAGATGTAGGTCCCTTGCCCAAAGATAGGGGCCCCTTGAGACTTCAGGCTGCTTTCGGGAGGAATTGAATGTTAGTCATGAAAAATAGGGAAACTTTCCACCAAATACCTGTTACCTCAGGAAATATTTGTTGAAAGAACGGATGAGATTTAATCTTTTTGTAAGATCACCGGTCCTAAACTAACTGCGGTGCTCTTTAAGCCTCGAGTTTTGAATACGGAGTATGGAGGAGTCATGTCATCCCTGCTGTGTGAGGTACAAGTTGGGGAGACCAGGTTTTTTGGCCTTGGTTACCAGCTCCTTCCAGACCAGAGTGACTAAAAGCCCTTTCCCTTTTGGCAGCCCTGAGGTCAATCAGGACTGCAATATAGTCAGAGGCCTGGGTAACCAGTTCTGACTTGGCCCCATCGGCCTGGACCTGTGGGGCACTTTGTCTCGAATGCAGCTCAAGTTCATGAAAACGTAGACCACCATTATCTTTCCTCCCTCCCTCAGAGCTAAATGCCTAATCCTGGGTGTTAGATGTTTCTCTTGGGTGGAGGGTAGAGAAGAGTGAGGACTGAGCAGCCTTCTTTGTTTAATGTGGAAAGTGATTGAGAAGAAAGAAGAGCGCTTGATATTTTCTTAGCTGCAGAGCAGAGCCAGTGGAATTCCGCCACCCCCTCCCAGATGTGTCCACACAGGTCAGGCAAACAGGGCCCTGGGTCCCCACTCTGGCCATAGCCCCAACAGCATCTCTTCTGTCTATTTTAGACATTGTAAAGTTTTACATAAGTCATTTTCCATTGATTCAAGGCAAAAGAGTTTGAAAACCACTGGTCTTGATAATTCCAAGATGCCTACTGACCCCTGTGTGAGCCATCAGGGTACGCTGTATTACCCCACTGTAGAGTAGAAGACGACGACTCGGGGAAGCAAAGTATTTGTGGGCACAGAACTGGGGAGGGAGGGTCTGGGGTTCAGATTACATAGCTGGTCAGTAACAGAGCAGTCCCCAACCTGGAGCCCTGGCACTCACTGGGGACACCCTTCCCGAGGTATGTCTGTCATGCAGAGACAGAGCAAACATGGCCCTTGACTGTCACCACCACCCCTGCCACACCTGAGCTCTCATGCTGGCCACCCCCATTACAGCCCCAAGGAGAGCACAGAGCCTCCAGCCTTCACACAAAGAGGGGGCTCTGGCCAAGTGAAGCACGCATCCACCGTCTGCTCACACAGAAGCTTGGATGGAGCCTGGCGTCCAGGGTAGAGCTCTGATTGACAGGCTTGCCAGACGGCCTTTGTTAAGAGTGTGATCTCAGTTGGTTTATCTGGGCCTGAGCTGCCACCACGGGCCCCAGGCAGGAGCTGTGATCCAGGGAGAGACTTGGCTGAGCAGCTTGGAATTAAAGCACTAATAATCCCCCTTCCCACCCCCTTCACGTCTGGATAGAGGATCAGGCATTTATTTCTGATGTTGTTTCAAGACCCAAGAGCCTATGAACTGCTTTCATCCTTGTCCTGCTGCCCCATGCCTGGGCTCGGAGATACTCCCCAGAGATGTCTTCAGCCTCCTCTTCCTCTCTCTGCCGCATTTGCTGCTTCTTCACTTCCTCTGTTCTCTTCCCACAAAACAGCACAACCTTGGAGTTGGACAGACCTGGGATCCAGTCCTGCCTCCGATGTTTACTAGCCATATGGCCTGGGGAAGCCATCTAACCTCCGAGGGTCTGACTCAGGTTCTCAGTCTGGCCGGTAGGGGAAAGAGGACCTATCTCATAGGGCCGTTGACAGATTGAAGAAGATGTAATGCATGGAAAGTGCTTGGCACGGGGTCTGGCACGTAGTAGATACTTGAAGGTGGGCTTTCTTCCTTTCCTTGTTAGGAAAGGCTGGAAGAATCTAAAGAGATTGTTGCAGACTGCCTCAAGGCTTTAATGTGCTCATGTGTGACTCACCGATGTGGGGGCAGTGTGTGGGGTTTCTCAAACTCCTTTGTCAAAGGACACTTTTAAGAGCACATAAAATATCTTATAGGACACCAGGGTTCTCCAGAACACAGCTTGTAAAGTGCTCTCAAGTTTCTGGATGCAGAAGTAAATAAGAGGAACTACATCTGAAATTTATTAGGATTTTTTATTGCGTTCACATCTTTCTCTGTTCAGCGCTAAGCTGTGTAGTCCTCCCTCCAGACGCCCCCATTCCAGCCTTAGGGTCCTGTGGCACAAGCATGGCTTCCATGTCCGGAAGAAGGAGTAGCTGCACAGAGGGCGGCCCGCCTAAGCCGCTTTGCTGAGGACCCCCAGCTGCCCTTGCCTCAGGAATGGCTGCACCGCACCCAGCTCTTCTGTGGTGTTCGAATAGGGTCTCCAAGGCCCCCTGACTCTCCAGTCTTAAGTTCTCAACTGTACCAGGAAAAGGGACCACAAGGGGTTGGGATGCATTCAGACCCTTCCGCAGCACGAAACAATAGAGCCCGACAGATGGATCCAGCTCCGCCTCTGCCGCTTACCAGTTCTGCGGCCCGGGGCCCAGAGCTTGCCCTCACGGACCCAGTCTGTCATCGTTATAGTGAGGAGCGTCGTGGGGTCCTGAGTGTGGAAGGAGGTTCTGCATCTATGCCTATACGACAGGGCTCAGTATGACTTTGTGCCTGAATTCCTTCTTCCCTTCAATCATTTGGTGGGTATTTGCCAAACACCATGTCTCAAGTGTCCTGTGCTCAGGTGTGGGGGCCACACGGTGAATCTGCCCCTTGGGGGACACCCCCCCCATTGAGGAGCCTGTCTGACTAACCCTCTCCCTTTCTGGCTTGCCTGCTGCAGGTGCCCGAGCCGGTGGGAGACTACCAGCCCAGCTACTACCAGCCGCCGCCGCCCCCGCCGCCGCCGCAGCCGCCGCAGCCTCAGTTTCTCCCGCCAGGCTTCCTGTCTGCGCTGCACTTCCTGCCGCCGCTGCCGCCACCGCCGCCCCCGGCATCCTTCTCTCTCACTGTCCTATCTGATACGGACAAGGAAACCACTGGTAAGTGGGCTCCAGTCTGCCAATTTCTGGGAAGCCAGGAAGGTTTTCCAGAGGAAGGGGGCCTGCTCTGAAGTGGCTGCGGAAAGAAGGGAAATGGAGAGCAGAAATTAGAATGCACTGGGCCCAGGCTTGAGCTTTTTCCTGATACACCTCCCTTTATTCCATATGCACGCATCCTCAAGAGGGAGTCCCCAGTCCCAGATGAGAAAACCAGTGTAACCCAGAGAGGCTCTGGGTGCAATGCTGATTCCCTCCCCATCCACGCTTCCACGGTGTGCAGGTTGCCATGCGTGCTGTGTGTTGAGAAGACCGGAGGCGCCTGGCCTCTCTGGCTTGGCTGGGGCCTCCAGCTAGGGAGAGATTAGATGCTGAGCCTGGAGCAGCGGCTGGGGCTGGGCTGGGGCTGTTAGGGGTGACTCCTCTGCCCCCGGCTGCTCCGTGGAGAGAAACAGGCCAGGAGCTAGGCATGTCTCCGCCTCTGTAAAATGGGTCCTGTCATGGGGTGACTGTGACAGTCAACTGACAGTCGGGTTGTAAAAATGCTTTAGGTTTTCTGTTGAGGGCTCTTGCAGCTTTGAAGGTTCTAGGATTTTTTACCCTTTCAATCCTTCCCTGAGGCTCCTTAGGAAAGAAAAGGAAGTGAGAGACCTGTTGCACACTTGCTCTGTGTGAGACTCCCGGACCCGCGGGCTGGAGATATGACGTGTAGTTTGAAGCACGCCAGCCGCGGAGCCAGACAGCGGGGTTGTGGGTCCTGACTTGGGCCCTTAGCAGCTGTGGGGCCCACAGCAAGTCCCTTCCATCCTTGTGCCTCAGCTTCACCTTCTGCCAAGGCAGACGGGTGGTCCCCACCTCAGGAGGGGATTCTGAGGACTAAACAGAACATGAGCCCGAGGATGGCCTTAGTGTGCATTCTTGTTTACTGTTTCCCCTCATCCTCTCGCTGATGTGATCTATCGTGAGGCAGAGATACGTGGAGGTTCAGAGCCGCGGGGTAGCTGACTTCTCACCGCCCGGCTGGAGGGTCAGTTGGACTCTGTGTTGCGGGGCCCAGGCTCGGTTGCCAGTGTCCGGACGGACACCCAGCAGAGGAAAGGCAAAGGCATCCTCCGCTGGGGCTGGGAGTGGGGAGAATGCCTTACAGAAAGTCTGCATCTGAAAGTAGGTCATTCCCCTCTTTGTAAATCCAGCCCCTCTTCTTTGTCCTTCCCAGATGACCAGGAGCAGGAAGCTGAAGTGCCAGCAGCGCCGCCCTGTGAGCCCAGCCAGCCACCCTCTCAGAAGCCGTCTGACTAGGCCCAGGCCCTCAGGCCAGCAGGGTGGGGGTGTGGGGTGTTCCAGCAACGATGTTCTCGTCCACTTTCAGCCATGTGTAGGGAGGAAGGATAGTGGTGGGTGTAAGATGGCAGTTCATTTCCATTTCAAGACAGGAGGGAGGAGGGTGATTTCTAAAGTTCTCTCGATTCTGAGATGTGGGATTGACCAGGAGCGTGGAGGATGGTTAGCAGGGGAGGGCCAGGGCTCAGAGGATCACGGGGCTGGTGGAAGCTCACATTTAGGAATGAATTTAACCGAGTCTGGGTTGTGCGGCTGTTAAACTCACTCCCAGATGCGGTCTTTGATTTCCTCAGGCCCCACTCCAGGACAGGAGGCAGCATCTAGTCCAGCCTTCTGCTTCTGTCTCTGTTTGGTCCCAACTGGGGGCAGCACAGACACCAAGCTCCCAGCACATCCAGGTGGCTGGTGTGGGCAGCAGGACCCTGAGCACTGACAGCCAGTTCCACAGCGTTCTTCCCTGCTGCTCTGGCCCGCGAGGGCTGCTTGGCCACTGCCCTCGCCCCATCTCCAAGGGGCTTCTCTAAGCATTCTGACCGCTGGGGCTGCTTCATCTCCCCTCCATAGTTTAAGCCATTATAGGCATTATTTCTGGTTTGAAAAAAATCTATTACAGTTTGACTATTTGATATTTTTATAGTGATTGCCAACTTTAAAAAGTAGGCTGTTCCTAAGCACTGATGCAATTCTCAGAGAGTAGAATGTGCTTCTAAACCATCTCTGTATCCACTTCCTCTCTGGGGTCAGTTGACTGTTGAAATAAAATAAGCAGTAGAAATTGTTGTGGAAGGTTTATTCTCTCTTTAAATCCTTGTGGGAAGTGGTGTTGGGTAGGGGGTTGGGTCAGGGCCTGGCCTGCCTCCCTTCTCCTTTTTCCTCTGTTAGCAAGCAAGAGGCTTAGGCCAGGCTGCTGGATTTTTTACTATCATTGTTGGTTTTATCACCATATTGGTTTTTTTTTTTTTTAAAGCAGTGGAGAGCTTTTGAGGAAATCTGATGCAGATCCCAAAATATAAAGATGTCTTTTTGTTTCCCTCACCCAACTGTGGGGGTGGTCAGAAAAAGCCTTCTGGAGAAGTTGGGGTCTCAACTCCATCTTGAAAGTGAAAGTAGGCACTTCCTATAGGGGGATGTGGAGAGTAGGGCACCTGGAGTGAAAGATTGTGGGTAAGAGACTGTGTGTCCTATTCTCTGTCCAGGAAAGGACTGGCATTCAAGAGAACAGGCTGACCTTCCTGCAACTTGCCTGCAGGCAGGGGTGTCCCAGCATGGTCACAGGACAAGTGGTAGGACGATCGCTGAGAAGTGATACTCGGCTGTTCTCCCAACATAAGGGCAGTGGTTGGGCCTGGGGCTGCTCTGTTGGAAGGCCCTGGAACAGGATATAGTCTTAGAAATGTTTCAGTTCCTGCTTTATAGAAAGTTCTTCCAGCGGGGCTGATCTAAGTGTGCCGAGGCCCATAGGTCAGCATTGGCTTCAGTCTGGACCTGATGCTGTGACCTCAGACTAGCCTGGCTTTGAGGCTGAAGCTCCCCCCATCCCAGCCCTCCCCTCAACAGTGCTGGTTGTGCCCTGGGTCCACAGCACTGCAGGAACCCTGCCTTCCCGTTGGCCTCACTCCCCCTGCCCTCACTGGGCCCTGGCGTGTCAGTGTGGCCAAGTAAGCCTGGAAAAGCCTGAAAAGCCCCTACTTTTTCATTACACTTAGTTTTATCTTAGACTCCATGTTTTGAAAGCTTTTTCAGCCAAACTGCATTAAAGTATTTCTGTTCAACACACACACACATACGAGTTATAAAAGTTTGACTACATGGACTCCATAGCAATCCAGACCAGTGCAAGAAAGCGAATATTTATTTAAGCCTGTGGGGTTTAAGATGGGAAGTTCTGGCCTGCTGAGAAGGGCAGCAGTATCTGTTGCTGGAGTTTGTGTCCACAGGACTCCACAAAGGGAGGATTTCTCCGTTCTAGAGGTCTGTGATCTGTTGAACCTCTTGAGACCAGTTCGCATCTTTCCTGGAAACTTGAGGGTACCGGCCGGGGTGAAAAGAACTGTGGGGCAGGATTAGAAACCTGCCGTCTTCCCTTGCCCCTGGTGTGAAGTTCAAGTTTTGATAGTCCCAGCTTGCCCTTGTGTGTGTGTTCTCACCATGCTTACTTATCTCGTAGGGGTCAGTGGACACCTGCTCTCTTTCCCAGTAGCCTTCCCAGTCAATCCAGTCTGTGCCCCCTGAATGCCCTGTTCCTCCAGGCTGTCCCTTCAGCAGCAACAGCATGAGCACTGAAACACCAGATCTGCTCATATTGCTGCTTTGCTCACACACCCTTCTATGGCTCCCTGCTGCTCTGAGGCCAACATTTTCAACAGAGTGTGCCTGCCCACCTCTCCAGCCTCCATTCTTCACAAGCTAGCCCAGTCCAGGTCTTGCAGTAGAGTGCAGAAAAGGATGAGAAGAGAGAAACGCAGCCAGGAGCAGCACTGCTCATCGCTAAAGACAGACTTGGCTATAAGCTTGGAGAATGTTCTGGAAGGCAGCTGGCTGGCATTGCCTGACGCCAGGTGTACTGTAAGGGCGCCGCCAGGAGGGGGCGCGCGGGCAGCAACTGTGGGCGGGGCCTGTTGCCTAGCGACGCGCCACAAAGAATAGCGCAGGTCCCAGGCCAGCGGAGGCGAAGGAATAGTTTTTCTGCAGCGCCGGGCTTGAAGCGCCCCCCAGAGACCTGGGGTCTTCCGGGAAATCAAAGCGATGAGCGTCTAGTCTGCGCTAGGTGATTACTAGCCGCTCCGCAGTCATCTTTGCGCTGCCCTGCCTAGGAAATAGGTGCCCTTTTATCTTCGTCTAAAGACACCAGCCCCAACCCTGCGCCCCCATAGAAGGTGAAAGGAAGAGGGGTTTTACCATCTGTATTTTATGAAGGAAAGTGAGGCAAAGAGAGGGATAGTGATTTGCGCAAAGTCACATAGCTTCTATGTGACCAGGAGGGTGCAGAGGAACACATACATCCCTGAGCACCAGTCACAGTTTTTAATATCCATTTCTCCCTGAGTTACTATCTTCAGATTTTTTAAAAATCAGGTGAATGCACCCTAGTTTCTGAGCGGATTCTAACATAGCATAGGGAGAGCAGCCTAAGGACATTGGCCTCTTGAAACCACTGCCCACTCTACTGACCACAGCACACACAGCCCCCTGAGAAAACGCTGAAGTAGGCATCCTGGTGACCGGTGTGAGAAGGGTGCTTGGGATATCTGGGCCAGAAGGCAGGCAGCATTTGCTGGTGCCTGAGCTCTGATTATGGCCTGGGGTTCACCATAAGCACCACTGTGTGAGCTGGGACTGACAGAACGTTTGGTCTTGTCTTGTCTTTTTTTTTTTTTTTTAAGATTTTATTTATTTATTTGACAAAGATCACAAGTAGGCAGAGAGGCAGGCAGAGAGAGAGGGGGAAGCAGGCTCCCTGCTCAGCAGAGAGCCGGATGCAGGGCTCGATTCCAGGACCCTGGGATCATGACCTGAGCCAAAGGCAGAGGCTTTAACCCACTGAGCCACCCAGGTGCCCCAGAATGCTTGTTCTTGAGGTCTTGAGGAGCAAGGAGATGTGTCTTCTAAGGCTGCACTAATAGGTTTGATCCCCAAAACCCTTCTGGAGAGAATCTCTCCCACCCTGACACCACCCCCCACCCCTGGCTTTTCTGGAGAGTGGGGGTGCTCTGCAACCTCTTGTAGACAAAACACATCCCTCGGGCCCTGAGGCAGGGGAGGAGATCCTCTCTCTGCAGCTCTGGGGATCCTAGCACCTCCTTCCACTCCTGGGTGCTATAGCTTTGGTGGACCTGGGCCTAGGTTCCTCTTACTTGGGGGCTGCTCAGAGACCTTGGTTGAGGCATGGCCTCTTCTCATTGGCCAAGGCTCAGGATCTTCAGGCCCTGCTCTTCCTCCTCGCCTTTCTGTAGCTGTGTGTTTTGGGGCACATCACATACCCTCTCTGAGCCTCCCTTTGGTTCAGGGGCATGCTGAGAATGCAGGGAGTTCTTGCCTGAAATGTTACCTCTGATGCTGCCTCTCAGAGTACAGCGTATGTGGTACCCACGTTATCAGATGATCGACAGCAGCCTCTTCTTTAAGACTGTGTCAGGGGGTGAAGACTTACAAAGCGTATTAGCTGTGACTCTACTTGCCAGCGTCCCCCATGTACCAGGCACTGTACTGCGCACTTTCCACAAATTGTCTCTGTGAATTCTCACAGTGACTCCCCCAGGCAGACACCACAATACCCCCATCTTACAGACCGCAAGACGGACGCCTACAGAGGTTAGGTTCTTGTGCTTGGCCATACCATCTCTAAGTGGCAGAGTTGGGGTTAAATCCGAGTTCCACTTGAGTCTAGAGCTAAGTTCCTAGCCACCCTGTACTCTCCTCCTCCTCCACAAGGGAGAGGTATGAGTCCTGGAAAGGTTGTGTTGCCTCCTGGGACTCTGCCCAGCCCAGCTGCCCTTCAAGACGCAGACAAGCTGCCTGCACACAGTAATTCAGCTCAGTTCTCACACAAGGAATGAAATCATTTGAACATTTTTTTCCCCAAACCCTGTAATTTCATTTTGAAAATGAACAAAGAAGCATGAAGTCAGTTTTTAAAGAAATGAGTATTAATAGCATATTCACATTTTGATCAAAATCCTTTCACAAGGTTGCTGGGAAATTGATCAATAATAATGCTTGTAATTCAAGTGTAACCCAGGAAAGAGTTTTGACTCTGACTGGGATAATTTCTTCTCACGCTCATTTCTTCATCTCTCTCCAGGAGATGTTTGTTTGTTTCTCTTTAAAAATAATTGTGAATATAAAGAATGCATGGAAATCATACACAGTTTATAAGGATAAGCCAGAAACAGGTTCTTCCCCCACCTCCATTTCCCCTTCTCGTTTCTCTCCTCACCGATGTCCCCCTTTTTGTGTGTGTCCCCCCCCAGAGATAATTTGTACAAGCTTTATTTCGTTGACTAATTTTTAATTTTGAGATAATTATATATTCACATGCACTTGTCAGAAATAACACAGAGAAATCTCATGGACGCTTGACCTACTTTCCCCCAATGGTTACATGACGCAAAACTATAGTATAAGATCACAACCAGAAAACTGACATTGGTACAGCCCACCCAATTTATTTGGGTTCACTTTCACCTGTTATATTTGAGTTAAATTTTGTATAAGGTGTGATTTTTTTTTTGCCCATGGATGTCCCAGTGCTCTAGCACCTTGTATTGAAAAGACCGTCCTTCCTCCATTGAATTGTTATTACACTTTTGTCAAACATCAATTG